TGGTGCTTGAAATTCCCTGGCATAGTTTGCCCCAGAAATCTTAAAATACTAATAGTCTAATTAGAAATAATCAATACTAATTATTAAGTTTAATATATTATAAATGTATTTATGTATTACATATTCTACATTACATACTATATATGTGATATATAGAATATGAAAACATGTTTTATATGTTATATATATTATAAAATTATATACATTATGAATCCTATTAACCCTTCACTGTATAAGCTATCCTGTATTTCTTATTCCACCAAGAAAACAAACTAGCAAGCAAAAAAACCAGTGGCTCATCTGCTGCAACACAGTTGATTTGAAAGGAGCAAACATAATTCATGTGTCACTGCTAAAATTTGATGGTGATACAAGTAAAATTCCCAGGTATATAATGTCACAGCTCCATGGGAACATCCCACTTTCCTTTCACCTTGTCTAGCCTCTCTTCTTAATGGATCTCAAAGAGCTTTCCTGTATTATTGATTCAGCCGCAGGATGCATGCAGGAGGAGCTTGGGGATGTGCTTCCATCAGTTCAGTCAGCAGCTCTGTTTTGTTAGCCCTCTGCACTGACCACTAGACAATTGCATTTTTCTAAACACTCGTTATGAGTGCTACTCCTGGCAGCTCATTTCTGATGTAGGTGGAAGTGTTCAGTAGTCAAGAACAAATTTCCTTTCTAATTGCAGCAAAAGTCAATGATGCCTTGAGACACCATTTGGATTCTGCCAGGTTCAATGTCCCACAAAATGTGTCTAAACTAGATCTGATGAAGTATGTGACAGATCTCTCCTATCGTGTTTTACGTTATTGTCAGGTAAAGATAATAATGTTTTGATGCTTCCTAATTGATCAGATTGTAAAATCCAGCAGAACAAGATCAGCAAACAACAAAGGGTTTCTATAAATACATATTTACTGTGCAAGACAAAAACTCTAAATAGACCCTGTGACATGAATGGTGAAGATTAACAAAGGCTAGGAGGAGAAAAAAACCCCAGACCTTTAGTTATGCATCTGATTTTCAAAGTTTTCTGCAAACCCTGTGCCCAGTTCTAACTCAGCTGAAATGAGTGGTGAAATTATGGATTAATGAATGGAAGATAAATCAAGCATGGGGAAAATTTTGGAGGCTTCTAAGAAACACTCTGCTCTGCTGGGGCAGCTGAACATTTCTAAGGATGCCTACTCAGCATACATTTAAGTGGAATGAATTTCCTTACTGTAAGGCAAGACAAGCTCATAATTTAGGAGGATAAAATGGTTACTAACTACTGCTGTTCTGGGGACTTAAACTGACTCTGAACCAAAAATCAGTTTGAACTGCTTTTTTTAACTTTTCTTGAACCAGAACTGAACTTGAATGTTATTTTGAAGCTTAGCTGACTTCATGCTGGAAGTGAACAATAACAGCTTCAGTCAGAGCTGAATGAGAACTAAGCTGAAAAATGGAATTGCTTGACTCCTGGTGGGCCACTGCAGGCTGTTCCCCTAGCTGCTGACAGGGCTAAGCAGGAGGAGGACTTCCAGAATAGGTAAGAGGAGCAGGATACTTTCATGTAGTCTTATGGAGCATGGATCAAGAGACATAATACACTAGTTAATCATCACTGTAAATGTTAAAGCCATTTCCTTCCCCCTAGGTCCCCAAAGCAGGACTCTTGCGTTGTAAGAATAGCAAATATAAACCAGCTCTGTACAGCCGTGATTCCCCTGAAAAGGCTTCAGTAACTTCTCCTGCCTCCCAATGAGAGTTAATGCCTTGCCACTTCTTTGTATAGGGCAGTTTTATTTCTTCAGTTAGTTTAGCAGTCATTAATGGACCTCACCATAACTGTGTGGACTGTCTCAGCCTGTATATATGCATATACATATACACATATATATATCTTTATCCATACACAAGCCCTTTTTTATGTTAATCCAAGCCTGTGGATGCTAGAACAATGGCATGAATTCATGGTTCAAACAGCCAAACAAATCAGATACCTGAGGCACTTGGAAGATGTTTCTGAACAGTGCTATTTTAGACAGTCAGCTCAACACAATTTCAATCAGCAGTTCCAGTTGACTTTGTTCTACCTAATAGAACCTGTGACACAATATATTCTGGACTTTTTTCCCCCCAGTAACCCTCTTGGCCTCTGAACTCTACTAACTGCAATTGATTTTGCATGTTAGATGAAGCAGGGGCAACGTTTTTCCAAAATTGCCCCAAGTTATTGCTACAGGAAAGGTGACCAGGTCAGGTGGAGCAAGTATCTTCACAACTGAAGTTTGTTCTTTTGTGAATCCAAGTAAGCTCTTCTTCCCTCTCTTCATTAAGGCTTCTTCAGCGCCCCCACTGCTAAAATGTTTTCACCTGAGGTGGTGTTACGCACCTGGTAATGGAGGGTCTGAGATCCTGGTAGTTGAAAAGAAGAGGAAGAAATGCTGGTTGGTGGTGAGATTGCTGTGTCCACTGTTAGCACATTTACTGTATTCTGTAGGACTCACACAGCCTGGCAATTTCCTCTGGTTTGCAGAGAGAAAAACTGTGTGGGCCATGGTGTGTTTTCACTGAGTTGCATGCCCTTAGGGAAGAAGCAGCCCTCCTGCTTTATATTCAAACTGCTTCTTATGTCACTTGCAAAACTGGTGTCAGCTAACTCCTAGCTCTCCTCTAGACATTGTTTTCTATTATGCACACTTAATTGAACAGACACTTTTCCCATTAATCCAGTTGCTCTTTCTATATTACCTATTTTAGTCAGAGCCCTATGCTTTATTGTTTCCATGCTGGCTAAAAGCCCTGCTCCAATTTTCAGGTTAATGCACTTACTGTTCCTGTCAACAGCTGAGCTCCAGGCACTGTACATGATTCTTGGTAAGGCTTCACATCTCTTTTTTTATACTTCTTACCACTACAGAGGTGTGGTTGGACGATGGTTCTCTCAAAATTATGTCTGCAAACAGTTAACTCCCAGCAGCTGTGAGGAAGAAATGCTGTCATTTAGCAGACGTTTTAGCCAAAAGGTGGCACTGCGGCTACACAGATTTTGCAGTAGATGAACAGTCTGGCAGAGGTAAGGAGCCACTCAATACATGGATTTTAAGTCTGCTTTTCAAACCTTGTGAATGCTAAGTATTGAAAACTGGCTAATTATTTCCCAAATATTAGACTAAAATCAGTGTTTCAGGAAGCAAAGTATCTGGTAACGGTACTATTAAAGTAATAAATGCTTTATCCTTTTGTTAGTGAATCTGGATGACTGAACAGAAAAAAAAATCCTGATCAATAGCTGAACGTGTCCTGCCAAAGTGCACGGAATATTTCAGCTGTGCATGTATCCTACACATACAGACTACCCCATTAACTGCTTGCTTTGGAGCCTCTAAGGCAAGGATAGCTTCCTCAGGAACTGAGTTTTGGAAACAGACCCTGTGGTCATAAAACAATGCTGCACTTTGCCATGGGCTGATCACTAGCAGATGAAGTCGGACTCGATCCTGGTATTTTACTGTGTACAGACATGATCACTAGGCATATACACAGAGATCCATGTGTACAGAAACCCATGCTAGAGCACTGAGAAACAAATCTGCAGTCTTGGTTCATTGCCGAGACATTCGGGAGAGCAGTGCTGGGCCCAAATGTGGGAAGTGAGGGAGAAATCTCCCCAGGCTGTCACATTCATCCTACTGGGACAGGGCTTTGTTACACTCCCCTGTAACACTGGAAGATGTGATATTTAACTTCTATGACCATACCTCTTCAGCAAAGGCTCAGTTTTTTTGTGATACAGGTCCATTGTAATCTGCGTCCTCATAATGGACTTGTTTGGTACACTGAATTAGTGCCTGTAGTTGATTTTTCTTAGCTTCCTTGAGCATTTTTATATATGTAACTCTGGAGTTCTTTACTCTCCAAATACACAAATCAGTTTGCCTCTTGTACCGTATCTGAATAATTGCCATTATTCATAAAATAAAAATCAGATGTCCACATGGCTCAACACCTATCATTTGAACCCTCAAAACAAAAAAAAACACCTTATTTTTTCTTCAAAAGACCCTTTTGTGGGTCAAACCCATGTTTGCCAAGGGTTTTCTCTGCAACAATGGTATGAAAGTATGTATTCTAAAAAGCATGCAACAGCAAAAGATGCTTAAGTAATTACAAGGAGTCAAAAAGCCAGGACCTCAAGAGCAAATCTAAGACTTCCTATATTGAAGGAAGACAGGATGAAGTCCTTAACTGGAAAGAAGCCTTGGGAATTTATGCTAAGGACCACAGGGTCACTGCTGCTGTTTTTTCCTACTCCACATCTTGCAGGAGACTGAAGAGTTAGCTCCAGCACTGCCCCACAAAGAGGACATTCCGTCCGAGCTCACCTCAGTTAAGTGGGAGGGCTTGCTGTACAGTCCTGAAGATTAAATGGGCTTTTACTTGAATTAATAACATTAATAACTTTCTATTTTACAGCATTACTATTTCAACCCAGGCTATTAGGTTTATTCAGCACACACACAGGGACACACCAGCTGAGCCTCGAAAAGGCCCTTTTCAATCCACCGCATGTTCTAACCCGCACCTTATTTTAAAGGGTAAAAAGCTTCCCAGAAAAGTGAAATACATTCCAGCAACCGCAGATCTATTTTTTTTCTTGTGGACCTAAATGCCCTGCTGAAACATGGGGGGGGGGAGGGGGGGGGGGATGTTGAACAAACCAGATAAAACTGCTCCCCCACTCAAGAAAAACAGTATAAATCAGAAGTTTTTAGTGAATACTAATAACGTTATTATAGCAACAATTATAATGAAAAATATTCTAGTAAAAAAAAAAAAAAACACAAGAAGAAACAAAAGAACAAACCCAAACACCAAAACCCAGACAAATAAACCACACACAAAACCAAACCAACTCAAAAAGAAACGTTAAGGAAAACCGATAAGGTTTTAAGTGGCTAACAGGAGCCAGCTGGGGGTGACAGCGCGGTGACAGAACAGTCCCTGCGATGCGGACGGGATGCGCAGGCAGCAGCGAGGGCACAGGGCAGGACTTCGGACAGGGCAGGAGCAAAGGCACGGCAGAGGGCAGGGTGGGGTCGGGAGCAGGGGCAGAAGGTAGGCACGTGGGCATGGGCAGAAGTAAGGGCACGGCAGAGACCAGGGTAGCGGTAGGGGTAGCGGTAGGGGTAGCGGTAGGGGTAGCGGTAGCGGTAGCGGCAGGGGCAGGGGCATGGGCATGGGCAGGGGCAGGGGCATGGGCATGGGCATAAGCATAAGCATAAGTATAAGCATAAGCATAAGCATAGGCATGGGCAGGGAGCTCACGGCCGGCCCCTTCACTGAGCGGTCCGGCCCTGTCGGGGCGGGGCGCGGGGCAGCTTCCTCACGGGGCGCGCCGTGGGGTGCCGCCGGCTGGTCCCGCGCCGTCGGTGCAGAGGGCGGGCCGGGGGGGTCGCTTCGCGCTGTTCGGCGGACGGGAGGAGGGCGGGAAAACAGCAGTGGGGGGAGCCCCGAGGGGGCGGGCGTGTGTGTGTGTTGTGTGTGTGCCCCTGGCCGGGGGTGCGGCACGGCGCTGGTTGCATGGGCTGCTGCCGGGATGCGGCGGGAGGGGTAAGGCGGCGCGGCTGAGGCGAGGCGAAGAGAAGAGAAGAGGGGACGGGCGATGCTCCGCCGTCGCGGCGGCTCCGCGCACGGGAGGACATAGGAGCGGCGGTGGCGCGCAGAGAGGGACGGCTCTCCGGCCGGCTGGCCGCGACCCCCACCCCGCCGCGATGGCCACCGAGGTGGTGTGCGGGCTCACCTTCCGGCTGCTCCTGCCCGTGTGTCTGACTGCCGGTATGTCCCTACGTCTGTCTGTCCGTCCGTCGGCTTGTCGCCGCCCGGGTGCGCGTCCCGGGGCTGCTGGACGGTTCTCTCTGCCAGCCGAGCCCGCGGCTCAAGGGGATGCACCCCGCTCCTTCCGCGCGGCAACTCCCACGGTCCGCTGTTACCCTAGAAAACTTTCAGCTTCGTTGCTCACCCCTTATTTCCTATATATTTGTTGCTGTTTGGTGGTGTCGGTATGGTTATTTTTATTGTCGCTGCCCGCCCTGGGGTGCGGAGCTCGCACGCGTGGCAGGGCTCGCCCTACACTGCCGGCGTTCGGAGCCCCGCAGGGCTCAGTGGCTCTCCGCGGCTTCCCGCTCGGAAACCCAGGCGCTTACTTCGTGTCACCCCGAGTCGCTTCGCATCCTAGGGAAAGGTGTGAGAGAGCGAGAGGAGGAACTGGTGTTCGCCCTCCTGGCTCAGCTGCCTTGTTGGGGTTCTGGGGGTACTTTGTAAAAGCGGGGAGTGAGCTGTTTCAGAAAGAGCAATTCTCTGGGGGTCTTCAGGGGGAGATTTGTTTTTTTTCGAGAGAGAGAAATTGCAGTTTATTATATCGCGTTAGTTAGCAGGGGGCCATCCAAAAAACCGCATTACTTTAGGATGGAGAGCCGCGGTGTCCAGCCGCGGGTGAGTATGTTAATATTAATCCATGCTTCCGCACAATTTGAAAATTGAAACAACGATTACTCGTTAGATCAGTCGGATCTGACGGGTTCGCCGTGTAAGCTGCCGTTGCGGAGCACAGGGCCGGGGCTGGTGCCAGGCTGCGGGCGGGAGGTGGGAAAGCGGGGCGGGAGCTGGTGCCCCACCGTCCGCACAGCGTGGAAGGAAATACCTCGGCGACCAGCGCCGCGCATCCTCCGCGGGCTGCGGAGCAAGACCGTCCCTCACTTGCGCGACCACCGCGGGGCTCACGGGTCCCGGGTGCCTCTAGCCCCTTCCTGGCCATAGAGAGGCGGCGGGGTCCCCCTCCCACCCCGGCTTGCAGGTCTCCGAGGGGCCTCATCGGCATCCCGGGGCAGAGCTGCCCAGCAGCTCCCCCAGCCGAGTACCCTTTGTCCTTGAGAAGCCCCGTGGTGGCCCGGCCAGCACGTTTCCATGTCAGCATGTGCCCTTCAGCCTTCTCGGGAAGTCGCCCGAGCTCCCCGTGATCCCCATTACCTCTGACTTCTCCTCCGGGAGAATCTCGCGGACCCTCCTTAGCCCCACCAGAGGCACTCCCCGACTCCCGTGTCGCTACCGGGTGCTTCCCTCTTGCTTCCGTGGGCTGCGAGTGAAAACGCACTTTTTTTCTTATTGTATTGCTTGAGGCAGTGCGGTGAGCTCTGTGATTGCGGGATTGTATGAAGGGTGAGATGGAGACAGCTTTCCAGCCCACCACCAGCACCTGCACTCACTTGCTGCCCTTCCCAGAGCCTGTGGTCTCCCTGCAAGTGCCCAGGCCTGAGCTTGGTGGCTACTGCTGGGGCAGGCACGGTTCCCCAGGTCCACGGCAGCAGGTGAGGGGTCGCCGTCTGCTTTGTCACTCTGTGTGATTGGATGTCGGTGCCTTGGTGGCCAGTGTGCGGGAACGTTGTGTGCAGAGGGGCTGAGGGGCGGTAGGTGCTGAAGGCGGCAGGTTGCCCTCGAGGCCAAGGGGTGGTGGTACCAGGCAGGTCTTTCAGTGCCAGGGCTGGGTGCAGGGCGCCCCCTGTTCGAAACCTGTTGGACCCCATCCGTATTTTCATTGGACTGGAGAAATATGATTGGATAATGGATGAGTATGAATTTGCTGGAAAGACATATGGGGAGGAGGAAGGTCTCTAGGAAATAAATTGTGTTCAGGTGGAATTTGTTTATATTACTCTAATGACATAGCATCTAGCTGTGATATTAAAATAGTGGGAGTATTGTTCTGTCAGGTGCTCAATCTGGTTCTTGCCAAACTCTTTCTGTACCAGAATAAGTTCAGATTAAATTGTTTGGTTGTCCCAATTCCTGATAGTAATACAGAGGTACTTTCTCATTGCAGTAATATTTCCACAGATGAGAATTTATGTTGTAATGAATTGCATATGGTCATAAATCTTACTTATCTGAAGATTAATAGAAATATGAAATGTAAAGGAGGGACTTCCCATCTTGAGTATGAAAGAGTAATCCCACTGATGAGCTTTTTTGTTTTGGACCTAATGATATTGTTCAGTTGGATTTGAGAGAGAAATCAGTAAATGGACAAACAGCTTTTCTCTTACCTTCATTTACTCTGCCTGTTATTCTTTTCCCCTTTACAAGCTGTTAGCAGAGTCCTTACTAGGGTGAAACCTAGTTCAGTCTCCTTCACTTCACTTTTCTTGTGTCTGCACCTGAGTTATCTTTGAGCCAATGTTCTCCTCTTTTCCAAAGCATCAAGGAAGTGTTTCATGGTCTTCTGGAAAAAGGCCTTTTAGAGATCATATATCAGAGTGGTTTTCTGTATGACTTTTACAGTGGGGTTGCATCTGCAGCTGGAAAGTTGCCATGAGGACTCACTGTTCAGAGTGATGCCTTCTGTCTCCCACCCCTCTCTGAGCAGTGCCAAAAGGGGGTAATACAGAGTTGTTCTTTCAGTTCAGCAGCTGATTTCAAAATGCTAGGTTACTGTAATTTCTTATCATGGTATGATTTGCTTTTCTGTTTCTGAGGGTAGAAAATAGCAGGGTTGGAGGACCCTGATGAGCAATGGCAGCTGTGGCAAACTTGTTATAAATAACACATCTCCTAAGCTGAAAGCTGGTTCTTTAAACACTTTAGAAATGGTTAATGCTTTAAACTCTTACTACTATCAATACTTTAGTTTAAATAAAATGAAATACTGAGGCTAATTATCTTTTCTGGCATGAAAGACTTTCCAAGTGTTGATTAGCAGCATGTAACTGGGAAAACACAGTTCCTTGTAAGATTGTTTTTTTTTAGGATCAGATCTGGAGCACCGAATAGTGTAATCTTCTGTGGGTAATCCTAGATGTATGCATTTAAAGCTCAAGAATGATGTGTCTTGAGTGTCTGCTGAAGACAGGAAATTTAACATGGACAAAAAAAACCCTCTGGGACTGAAAAGCTGATTGTAGGCTTCTGACTTTAAAGTTGATCCTCCACCATGTTGTTTTCATGATGAAATCTTGTGTTCAGTCAAATGCAAAACTAGAGCCTAAATGGTAGATCCCAGCAATGATAAATAAACTTCCTTTCAAATGAAGTACTGTGTTATGTAGTAGAACAGAGTGAGTTTGATCTATTTGGTTTGGTTTGGTGTTTTTTTTTTAAATTGAGTGACATTGAGATTAATGTGATATTTTCCTGTATCGTAATAGTACAATGCTGAAAAAACAAGTAATAAAACAGAGGAGAGGGAGCTTTTGGCACTGGTGGTGGGAAGTTTTTTGTTTTGTTTTTTAAAGCTTGAGCCCTGGCATGAACCTGTTTGTTTGGCGTTCTTTTTGTTACTCATATGAACTTGAAACATTCAAAATGTGATTACTAAGTAAGGCATCAGAACAATCTTTTGCTAATTGCTTCCTTTGGTTTTAAATACTTGAACCACAAAGTTGCGGTTTACATCAATTGATAACAATTTTCACGTATTCTGCTTCCAATTGTTTTATTTCACACACAATTCATTAGTTTTCTTTTAAGCAAAATAGTGTTATTTTCAAATGGCGTGCTGGGAAAAGCAATGCTTAGAGAGAACAGCTTTCTCTGGTGTTTAACTGATGATGCTGGATTGTGTGTTACCACCAAATGGGCTTCAGTGAACTAGCTGCCTTGCCCAAGCACTTCTGAGAAGTTACGCTTGCTTTCTGAACTCCTGAATGAAGATGAAGTAAAACTTGTAGAAGCTTCTAGAGAGTTGGTTTGGTTTTTGAGGGGGTGAGCACAAGTATTAGAGTTTGGTAAATGATGTCAGGTAAAAAGAAAATACTTTGGACTTTTTGTAGATGACAGAGTTCAGATATTAGTTGAAACCTTTCACTTGATTTCTTCAAACCAAATCTTTGAAATCCTGATAAATAGCGGGAATTGCTTTTATTTCTTTCAGTCATAGTGATATCGAATCAGTCAGAGTTATCATCTTCTTGGGATATAAGCAATATGTTACAGAGAATGTTTTTTAAAGCATGCACAGTATTTTCAAACCCATGTACATTCAGCTGTTGGAAGTACCACTGCAGGACTGAGGTCCTTATTCTGCCATGGAAGCAAAAGGTAGAGTCCAGCATGCTTGGGTGTGCTGTGTGACTTTAGCCCTCAAATTAACAAGTATTGCTGAAGACGTTGGAGGGGGAGTGTCTGCATAGCTACATCAACAGGTACTAAAATGCTGTTTAAATTTTATGTTTTAAGCAGTACAGAATTCAGTTCCTCCCTGTATGTTTTGATGCTTTGAATTATTACTATTCACATTTTCTATAGACAAAATAATTTGGACAAGGCTGAAATATTAAGGCAAATCTGTGGAGGCAGTGAGCTGTACCATGCTTGGATTATTATTTTGGATTTCTCTGGAGGTGGTTGTTTAAAAATGATGGTACAATATGACATTGTGTTGCAGTTTTCAGGTGGCTGAATGAGTTTCATGTGCCAGCCTGCACAGGTGAGGTCAGGGTGATGACGAAGCAAGTTGTGATGCAAGACTGTTCAGACTAGAGGGTAGTTTGCATAGCGAGGGTGCATACATGTTTGTATGTGTGTGCATACACATTAAAAAACTTTGCCATGCTTCTAAAGTTGAAATAAACTTCCCATAGTTATTTAGAGCAGTGATTGTTATGCTCTAAAATTGGTCAGCTACTGAAAAGAAGGCAAAGATCAAACTGATTTTTCTTTGTGTCTTCCCCGCTCCTCCATCATTATGATGGCATTGGGAAATATTTATGATGATGTACTGAGAAGAATAACAGTGAGCAGCATGAAGGAGGTTCACATAGACTTCCTGTTACATTTTAAAACCG